ACAGCCCGTTCCAGCCAGCTCCAAAGGACTCATCCCTGGCCAAAACTGAGCACATCAGCAATGCTGCTGGCACCTCTGTGGTAACCTATTTAAGAAAGGTTGATTTTTTTGGGCTGTTTCGCCAATGCGTCTGCAGGCAGTAACTCTTTTGCAAACTTAAGCTTGTCTCTACTTTCTTTGCCTGTATGATTGACGGTGTTTATAGCACAAATGTGTCTGCCTGTTGATAGGCATGAGAGATGCTTATTTTATCTTTAAATTTTGATGTTTTGTATATAACTGTCCAAGAACTAGAGAAATTTTGATAGTCGTGCCAGAAATAAGGCATTTTGGGGCAAAACAAAAAAGTGAAAGTACAGATCCTCTTATATTGGAACAAAAATACTTGTTTTCAAGGTGTTTTTTTTCTTCTTCTGTCAATCTTTCATCTCTTATTTTCCTGATATTGCATGAGGATTACAGCATGAAAGATCTTTAGGGCAAAAAAAGGACTTCCCAACATCACTACGTTTCCAAACAGATTATGCCAGCCAACAGGTCTTTTCTAGCTATATATGCTTAGACTCAATGAGAGTGTTGACCTGTTTGGTCGGCGGGTTTTTATGTGGTTGGGTTTTTTTGTTGTGGGTTGTGTTTTTTGTATGTACTTTGTTCTTTGTTTTGTTGTAACTCACAATATAAAAGGAAAGGCAGATGATGAAAGAAAAGAATTAATTGAGTCTTCTCTGCTCATCATGCGTGTTTGGTTATTTTTTTTGAGGACTGGACTCTTGTCTAATGATTAAGTTCTTTGGAGGTCGGCAACTGAAGTATAGAAAGAGTAGCAGATTGAGGAGAAGCCTGTCTTGCAGTTTTGGAAAGCAGAACTTACGTTAAAGTATACAAAGTCCTGAATCATTAGAGCAGGAAAAACAACAAACAAAATAATCATAAAAAAAATTAAAAACCAGCTGTATTTTTTGGCCTGCTAGGATCAAAATGCCTTAGCTTTGCTTACATGTCAAAGCATAATCTGGAAACCAAATCCTTATTTTTTTGCATAGATTATTTTGCTTTCCTTCCTTATTTGTTAATCTCACAACCTGCTTAAATTTTTTGTCTAATCCATTTGTTTGTCTGGATTTTTTCCATCCTTTTGAAACTCCATTGCCTTTACTGCAGCAGAGTTGTGCTGACCAGAATGTATCTCCTGTGCTCCCTTAACTCACATACGATAACCATGTTTGCCTCCTCCTTACAGAGGGGATGTGTGTGTGTATATATACGCGCAACCAAACATGTTCTTGTTCTGTAGAACAAGTTTAAAGCAGTGTAGATCTACTGTCACTGTTGTCACACAACTTGCATTGCTGTCATGAGGATAGTGTGTGCTGTGTTTGTGTGGCTGTCGCTGTTGTCACACAACTTGCATTGCTGGCATGAGGATAGTGTGTGCTGTGTTTGTGTGAAACCCCTCGACTTCTTTTAAGACAAGATTTAGGCTAGGTGAATACCACTGCTGTTCCTCTTGCTCACTCAGTTTCTCCTGAGGAGAATAAAACCTGGTATAGTCCTTTTTTGTGTGAATAGACTCATAAGGACAATGTCAATGAGACACCCAGTGAAGAATAAAATTTGGAGTAGCTAAAATCATAGCTAAACGCAAAGTATGGTCTTGTATCACTTGCTTTTGTGCTTCTGCATTTTGATACGCTTGTATGTCACTGTAGCAGATCCACAATAGAATCTAGGGTTTGAAGTCAGTGAGAAGTCATACATTTAAGAGTAAATTAATGAGCTTATTAACAAATATAACTGTGAAACAGGTCTCTTACAAGCTGATCATAGGGGTTGTTTTTTTTCTCTAATCTCAAAGGAAATTGGAAATCTAGTAAGCTATTATAACTTTACTCGGATGGATGAGTAGGGTCTGTGAAGGTAAAGGAAAAGGGAGGCGAATGTATAAATAACAGGCGCTTAAAAATAACCACAAAACATGTGTGGAAACAGTAAAATATTTTTGTTTCCATGGATACTTGCTGTGTAAACAGAAGATAAGCACTTAAAGTACCTAAAAGTGTAATTATGTCCCTATTAAATCGCAGTATTTAGAAAGTAAACTTTTATGTTTGTTTTTTCTAGGTTCAAGAAGGCGTTTGAGTCAGAGCCAACATTACAGTCAGGAATTAATTATGCAGTACTCCTCCTGGCAGCTGGACATTGCTTTGATACTTCTTTTGAGCTGCGGAAAGTTGGTAATTATAGCTTGCAAATTCACAGTGAAATTGCATTCTAGTTAAAGTATGACACCACCCACTGTCGTAGGGGGAAAATCTGATGGTTGTATACAAATGCTTTGATAGTGAGTGTTTAAGTTGGTCTCCCCCCCCCACCATTGATCTGACCTGACTGCGGTTGAGTGCTGATTCCAGTTTCAAGGTCTTAATTGGTTACCAGAGCTTAGTGAAAACTGTCAGCCGTTCTTTGCGATAGCATCATTTGTGTGAAACAAACACCTGAAGGGGGAATCCAGTTCCAGCTGGCATTCTTTAAAACAAACAACTGTAGAACTGTAGGGAATATGGACAAAAAGTCCATCCTAAGAGTGAGGAAAATGCACTTGACTTGAGCTTGGGATGGGCTGAGAGAAGAATGTTTCTCTTCTGAGGCTTTCTTTTAGGTTTCCTGAATGTATTCATGGAATCATAGAATCACAGAGTGGTTTGGGTTGGAAGGGATCTTTTAGAGACCATCTAGTCCAACCCCCCTGCCATGGGCAGGGACATCTTTCACTAGATCAGGTTGCTCAGCCTGACCTTGAACACTTCCGACAATGGGGCATTCACAACTTCCCTGGGCAACCTGGTCCAATGTCTCACCACCCTTGCTGTAAAAAAATTCTTGCTTAAGAAGGAAGAATTAAGGTGTCCATTTTGTTTGTGATGTTGCTGGATTTGAGGAGAATGCAAAGTCAAGATTAGTCAGTAGTACTTTCAGGGGAGAAAGCACTGAATGTTGTCATATGTAGTAATGTGTTTTTTGCAACTGGCATTCTTCTCCATGAGTTCATATAATTCTTGACTTATTGTGAGGTCGTTTTTTATCCTTCTGTCTCCTGAGCACGTTGTCAAGTGGGAAAGAAATGATGTTCTTCACAGAATGTATCTGTAATCAGCCACTGCTCTAGTTTAGAAGTTAGGTGTGCACTGCTTGTCTGGAAATAATTTTTTAGATAGGGAAGTTTTTTGAGTGTGAAGGTCAGAGTGAGATGGTTACTTTCACATAGATAATGGAAGTGAAACTGAAATTCTGTGGTGTGAATGAAGATATTCATTTGGATGTAATACGTTGTGTAGAGTTGCCCCAACTACTGTGTTTGCCCTTCTGTGAGTGTGTCAGACTTTGCTTTTTTGGGTTGGATAGAATACTTTCATCTCCTACACTGAAATTTGAATTCTTATGTGAGTGTAGGCGGTAAAAATATATGTTTTGCTTCCTACATAGCATTTGCAAATATTCACTCAGCTGGCCTAATTTTAAATCGGATAGTTTAGCGAAGCTGGGCTGTATTTATTGTGTAGTTTAATTTGAGTCCTTCCATCTTAAAGAAACTTCTCAATTGCACACAGGCTACAACCAATTAGATTTGGGCAAATTAATTGTACTGATGAAATCTGGGTGTTATTTATGGAGATCAGATGTTTGGTATCATCTTCTTGTGAGTTTGCCCGGTGTTGTTTTCCCTATGGTTTCTATGGGAGACCATTACAGAAATTAAGGTTCCATCCACTGCTCATGAATCATTTAGTGGAGAAATATCCAGTAGCTATTTGGTGGAAGGCTGGTTGTGTTGGTTTGTTTTTGTTTAGCTGTTGATGTGCCTCTCTTACGTAAACACTTACTTGGTGTCTGCTGAAAACCTTTGATACAGCAACCCCTTCTGTTATCTACTAGTGTCTCTCTATCTTATTTTGTTATGGGAAATATTATCAAAATAGTTTAAGCCTCAGACTGACTTAGCTATTTTGAAACAAGTTTTCAAATACGTCTATAATATAGACCCTATGTGTGTCATTGGTCATTAATTTCTTGTCGATAGGACTGTGGTCACTGTTCATAGAATCGTAGAATACCAGATTGGAAGGGACCTCAAAGATCATCCGGTCCAATCTTTCATGGCAAAAGCACAGTGTAGACAAGATGGCCTACCACCCTCTCCAGCCGAATCTTAAGTGTCCAATGTTGGGGAATCCACCACTTCCCTGGGGAGATTATTGCCGTGACTCATTGTGTTCATTGAACACAAGAGGAGAATTTTTTCACGATTAGAATTTACTCAGGAGTAACTTGTACCTGTTACCCCTCGTCTTTTCCACATCGCTCCTTGCAAAAAGGGAGTCTCCATTTTCTTTGTAACCACCCTTTAAATACTGGAACGTGGTGATAAGGTCTCCCCTAAACCTTTTCTCAAGGCTGAACAAGAGCAGTTCACTCAGCCTTTCCTCACATGGCAGGCTTCCCAGTGAGGCTTCCCAGGCTTCCCAGTCCTTTGATCATCTTCGTGGCCCTTCTCTGGACCCTCTCCAGCCTGTCCACAGATTTTTTTTTTTGTTTAGTGGGGACCAAAACTGAACACAGTATTCCAGGGGTGGCCTGCCAAGTGCTGAGTAGAGTGGGATAATGACTACTTTATCTCTGCTGGCGATGCCCTTGGTGATGCAACCCAGGGCCGTGTTGGCTTTTGTTGCAGCAGCAGCTCACTGTTCACTCACATTGAGCTTGGTGTCCACCAGGACCCCCGGGTCCCTTTCCACAGAGCTGCTCCCCAGCCGAGTGGATCCCAGCCTGTGCTGCACTCCTGGTTATGTTTTCTCAGGGGCAAGACCTTACATTTGCCTTTGTACAATGAGGTTTGTCAGCTGGCTTGAGTCGTGCTAGATTCTGAGGGTAATTTGGTATATTCTTTCTCTTGGACTAACATTAATGTGTTAAACAAAAATAAGCAAAACCACAGAGGATGTGTGGGAAAATATTTTGATTTTTTTTTTTTTCCTTGTCCCAAGAATCTGCTACACGCACATCATTCTCTTGATGTCACTTCTTGGTTAGATCTCTATGTACAAGATCATTCATTAGCAGTAGTTAGATTTGTCTGGCAGTTTTTTCAGTTTGGTGGCTACCCACAGCATTACCTATAGCACATAGAAATTAGAGCAAGTGTCTTCTGGTGGGAGAGGAGGAGAGAAGGGAGAGCAAGCTGATTGAAGTTCAGTTCAGGTTATATGGAAAATATATTGGTGGATTGGGAAAGGCTAAGGAAGGATATGGTCCCTAACAGCACTTCAGAGGGTGCATGGGGCTGTAATTAGAAGATGCATATCTGATTACATTGGCAATGATGTGATAACTCCAGTAAAACCAAGTCCAGCGTCCAAGAGAATTTTTACCAATCTGTATCAGATCAGGAAATTTGCCTTCTGAAAATTCCTGCCTCTATTTGTCAGATAATTGTTCACAACTAAACGATCATGTGAAGCGTTAATGAAAATCCTCCTCCTATTTTCTGAATAGTATTGCTTTCTTAACTTTACAAAATTGCAGAACTTTGAGACCAGAACAGAAATGCGGTGCTTTGCATTGACAGTAATGATCTCTGCAGGCTGTGCAACTTTGACACACAAAGGATCCTGTAATACGAATGGTTCCGTCAATATTTGAGCAAGGAAAGCAATTTATTTATAAAGCTGTCATAGTAATATTTAACTGCTAATATCTACTAACTGTATCTTATTTTCTTCACAAGCTGTGGGTATATTCTTGGCGTTATAAAAACAATGGCTCTTCTGGCATTAATGGTTCCTCTATTTTGGCTCATTTCTTTTTAAGGCAAAATATTTTTGATAAAATATACTGGAATTCAGCTGCTGTTTGTTTTTCTCCCCCTGTGAATGCCAAGTTTATCATGGAAGGAGAAAATGTCTTAACTTTGCCTGGATTTTCTTATACACTCAAAAAAACTTTTAAAGATGGTAAAATAATTTCTCTTCTGTAGCTCATTTTTATATGAGGAGACCACAAACTCAGAGTGAAATTCATGAAGGTGTTCACTTTGCATATTTGCATAAAAGGTGGTTTTTTGTTCCTCCACCCCCCAAAAAAAGATCAACCGCCCTGGAAAACAAAACAAAACAAAAAACCCCACCTGTATAAGTTAGGATTATAGTCTTTTGAACCTGTTGCAAATGTCTCCACACTGCTACTGCATTTTTCTGACTTGGCTTTCAGGGATAAGTAAGTTTGTAGATGAGCTTTGTAGCAGGTCAGTAAATTAGAGTGAGTTTTAGCACTGAGCACCTCCTCTTTGTCAGAAGAACTTGACGAGAGGCTGATGTTGTCTTCTCTAACATAATAGGATCCACTTCACAGAATACTCGGGTAAAACTTCCAGTTCATCCAGGTTATGTAACAGTAATGATTCCCAAACTTGCTGTCCTCAGATATCATTGCTGCTACACATCCATCCTTTCTCCTACCATCCTCCTATAGCTCTCCCTTACTCCGTGAGCTGGAACTCAAAATCCTTGCTATCCTCAGTCTTGCCATCCTAACAAACACCTCTCCCTGCCACACCGGTAATCCCAGTCCCTCCCCACGTGAGTTGTACTTTTCATCCAAACCACACATTGGGTTTGTACCTTGCTTTGGCTCCGTTCCCACGGCCGGAGCACCGGAGGGTTGTGACGGGTGGGTTCCTGCGGGCGCAATGAAGCGTGGCAGAGTACGTCCGCCTGCCAACCAGAGACCACTGCTGCTGGCTGTGACAAACCGCTTGTGATAGCTTGTCAGCCCTCACCGCGACTGCCAGTGCCTTCACCCGGCACTCGGCAAAGGCCCTCCGCACAGCTAAATTGCTCCCTTTCCCCTTCCTCCTGGCAAAGGTATTACCTGTCTGAAATGATTCCTGTATCCCTGCGATAGCAATTCCTTACTTGCCGTGTGATGAGGTCACATTCAAAGCCTGTGGAAGTTAGTGGGTGTCTGTCTGCTCTTGTATGTTGTGCATGCAAATGTTTTAGACGTTCTAGCAGAGCCCTTCGGCCTTTGAGGGTATTGCTGAGTAGTGGTACTCTAGGAGCCTGGGAGAGATTAGTTTTTTTCCATGTATTGTGTTGTGTGGATAGCGTGTAGGTTTTGATTTCTAAAACCAAAGTAGAATACATTTAGCACAAATTCCCCCTTCCTGTCCTACACCGACAAGCGTAGGTGTACATCCACACGCAGCCTCTCGACGATGTGCCTGTATATAGCACCCCGGCTTAAAGCCTTGCAGAGTTGATACACGTAGAGATGGTCACCGCTGTATGTTGTGGAGGTGATGCACATTGCACCATGTCTCAGGTAGATCTGAGATTTTATAAAATCTATTGCATTTTTTTCTCTTCAGAAATCACTAAACAAACTTCTTTCCCAAGAAGTGAACAACTAATGTTTTTACGATTTACGTATTATTTTGTTCTGTATGTTACTCAAGCGTGACAATTTCTTGTTAGCAAGAGAGCACAGAGTGTGAAATACAGATGTGAAATAGGCTGTAGACCACTTGGATACAATTTTGCATTTTAAAAACATTTATTGTCTGGTGTTGATAACATAAAAATGTGAACAATGTGAGAAAACAAGATTAATATTGTAGACTGAGATGTATCTAATGTAATGATATCCACTTTGATAAGATTTATTGCTGCTTCCAGCATGAAGTTTAGTCTGCTAGCTATTTAAGGAAGGTTAAGGAAAAAAAATAAAATAGCGACAATTGCGTTGAAATTTCTTGTGAATACTCAGCCTTAATATCAAGGACAGTGGAAGGTGATGTGGGAGGGAAACTGTCATAGTGGAGTGGTGTGGGAAAAGTGAATAAAAGGCAATGGTGGTAGAGAGGCTTGTCTTGTAAGCTGCAAATTGTTCTATTTGAGTGGGATGGTGTAGCATATCTCATGTTAGCGATAAATTTGTAGTAGCTGATATGAACTAAAAATCATCCTGAAGGCCACAGGGAAACTTGCAGTTCTCAGAAAACTGAGCAAGTCAAAATAAAACCTGAGGCTCTCCATAGTCTTGAGTTGCTGAGGGACTTACGAATATTAATAGATGTCTTTCATTGGGGTAGGACTTGCGGCAATTAAAAGAACATCACTGCTGGAAGAAGCCCAGTGGATCATCTGTTCCTTCTGCATGGGACCTTGTCTATAAAGGTAAGTTTGGGGCTTGGGGCTTGTAAGTCAAAAAAACAAAGCAGAAAAAAACATAATAGGTGCCTTATTCAGCATCTGTTAAGTTTTTACAGCTATGTTGTGTAGCCTAAGGCCCCAATTTACCTTTACAGATGAGGTCCATGCAACAACATAGGTAATCTGGCTGTGGCCTTGTCCTGACAGTGATGTCTTAAAGTTCCTTTCTTGAGAAGCCTTTAGGAAGAGGGGGAGGGGAAAAAAAAGTCTGCTACTGCTTAGGGTGTTTGGAAGGCATATAACATTAACTGGTAAGTATGATTTCCATCTTACTTGATTGAAATGGAGAGGCTACAGTAATTTAAGCAATTAATAGATTTCAAATAGGGGAAATGCTTATTGTAAACCTGCGTTAATGCATTCCTGTGACCTATTATTCTTTTTACTACAGGAGTAAAGATCAGCAGCCTGCTTGGTAAAAAGGGGAGCTTGGAGAAACTGCAGAGCTATTGGGAAGTGGGATCTTTCTTGGGGGCCAGTATGTTGGCTAATGACCATATGAGAGTGATCCAGGCTTCAGAAAAGCTGTTTAAGCTCAAGGCACCAGCATGGTAAGGTGATAAATGAGATCATGTACATTGCTATGTATTAAAACGTTGGACTACTTCAGCTTTCACATTCAGCATCATATTTAGCCGACAGGAGATTGGGTTTGGTTTTTTAAGTTTTTGCTGTCTGTGTATTGTTTCACTGCACTTTTACCCAGACAAGAGACTCTCTTCCCCTTTTGCATAGGTTTGATATGAGTCTGTAATTTGATGTCTGAGAAAGGCAGATTCACCATTGTCTCCAGGCTCTTCTGAGGTTAAGGGGGAAAGGAGGAGTTGCTTGTAGGCACCATACTTCAGCATTACATTGCTGAAGAGAAGTGGTAGTGGTTTGTGGGTTTAGTCATAACTGCCTAGAACTTTTTGGGAATGCAGGCAGCTTGGTTAGAGAGGCATGGATATACCTTGCAATACCGTGATGGTTATTGTACCTATCAGCTTTTTTGGGGAACTTGAATAGGAATGAGCTGTATGGTGCAAGCTGTGTCTCATAATGATCGACAAGAATGCAGATTAAAGTCCAATTAACAGAGAAGTTATAAATCTAGGGTTAAAGACAACCCTGTAGTCTCAACATCTGTTACGCAAAGGCCAAGAGATTTGTGCTCAGACAGCAAGCTCCTGGCACCTCTTCTGCTTTGGACATAGGCACCAAGTAAGAACCAGTCACCTACTCGTCAAGGGCTGGGATCCCGTTAGCTGGGGAGAACCAAGACTCCTTTCTGACCAAGGAAGCTGACACTCTGCGAACTGAAAGAGTGCATATGTCGCAACCTGTGTAGTTTTGTCTTTTTATAAAGGCTAGAAAGTGTCTCTAAGAGCTGATCAGAGGAGGATGTATATATGTGTGCTAAGATATGGAAATGCTAAACTTCTGTATCAACATAACATAGGAAGTGGTCAAAAATTAAGAACTCTAATTTTCTGACCAAATATTTTATAAATGCTGTTTACAGTCTATTTGTCTGCAAGGTTTTCCATTTTTGCTATGTCCATGTTTTACTGAGAAGCTGGATAACACTCTCTGGAAGTCTTCTGGTAGAGTTTTCTGGAGTTTATGAATGCCTAGCTGTCAGGATTTTATGTACCAGTGCCTTTGGGGTTTAAGTCTGTGGATTAAACTGTGAAAATACAGCACACTCATTTGTGCTTCAGGAAGGATTTCTCCTGTGAGCAATTCCTTTCCAGTCTCTTGCTTGCTGTTCAGTGGAGCCCACTTGATGCGAAGGGAAGTAAATGCAGTACGTTAAGCCCAATATCCCTGTGGCCTAAGAAGGATGACTGGAAAATGCACAGCTATGGAACTGTTCCCAGAAGGCCATCTGAGTTTACATTATGCCTTCTTGTCATAAGCCTGGAAGCAAAGTTCCCATGAATAGTTTGATTGTGATAAGGTGATAGCTGTGATAAATCCTCTTTAAGCGTGTATATCTCATTGCTGTAGTATTCATAAAAATTGCATAAGATTATGTTTACAACTTTTTTTACAAAAATGCCAAGAGAAAGCAATGGTGAGGAGCCCCAGAAAGTAGAAGAGCAGAGAAAGGGATGAGCTGCATTTAGGGGACACATTCAGCACTGCTGTTGTCCTTCCTAGCAATGCCAAAAGGCTGCTTAGCGTAGCTGTTCTCATCTTTATAGGATAATCAATTCCGGAAGCATCATGTCTTTAGAAATCTGTGTTAAACAACTACCAATGCAGGTACAATACAGAAGACAGAACAGTGTAGGAAGTTAAACTAGTGGATTTTTCGCCTGAGTTTTTATTTGAGGTTGATCACTGTCAAAACAAGTTTAACATGGGCTCAGTTTGGTCCGTAGGTAAAGAATTTAGCTATTTCATGAAGCTTTCATGGTTTAGGATAGGAGACAGTGTATGGGATCAGGAATATATGCAGGAAGGGAAGGAGTGTCCCAGAAGTCATTTCTATTTCAAGTTACTAATACAGCAGCTACGTTTCCAGTTCTAAATGGGGAATTGCTGTTAGTAAAAACAAGTCCTAGCGAACCGAAAATCTTACTGGCTGGCTTTGGTGTTGCAATGGTGAATGGTTGAGTTGTGATTAAAGATAGAGACATAATTCTTTACAGACTGTATTAAATTTACTCTTTATGTGTGCTTGAATGACCACAGGTACCTGAAGTCTATTGTAGAGACTATTTTGATATATCAGCATTTTAAGAAACTGACTCCAGAACACCATACAGCCAAACAGGAACTCGTGGACTTCTGGATGGACTTCCTTGTTGAAGCCACGAAGACAGATGTGTCTGTAGTTCGATTTCCAGTAAGTGGTTGTTTTGTTGAGTTTTGGTTTTGTTAGTGTTTGTTTTGTTTTAAAAAAATAAATTGTGACATGAAGGAAATGAACACAAAACACAGCTTGTGTTTAGGTTGCCAGACAATAAACTGCTTGTCCAGAAGAAATGTGTTTGGCCTGCGTGTTAGATTGGTTTTAATTGATTGCACGTGGCTACAAGGGGATTGCACAGTGTGTTCCATATGAAAGTAATGAGGAAAAAAGTCAAGATAGAACTTTGCTATTTAGTGTTTGCTACCAATGGGTATGCTTCTAAAGCAAACCTTTGCAGTGTATTCCAGGTGATACTGTAGTAACTATATTATGCTTTGAAGAAAAGAATTTAATTTCACGCTCTTTCTAGCTTAGCAGGCTTTGCGTGCCCTACTGCCAGTTAAGCCTGTGCTCTGTTAGAGGTTAAAAATCAACCTAAGCAGTCAGAAATCTATTGTTCCAGCTACTAGACAACGTATTTCAATAACACTGTGCTGTAAGTGTGTGTGTATACACACACACATATATATGTGTATACTTTTCTGATTTCTTCCACAAACATTTTGCTGAAAATTTTTGTTAGATACCCTGGGGTGTGCAATATCCTGAAGGCATACTGTAAAAAGATCTTTCTTCCCTGTACATATTAACTATACATGTATGGGAAATAAAGGCTTGGGTATTCCTTTTAGCTAACCATTAGCAAATACAGCTTTTTGTTTTAAATAGCAGTTGCTATTGCCTCCCAGACACTTAAAGTGCGTGCTGGTTGTTTTATACAGAACTTTTAGCTTCCCTGTGCAGATGGGATAATAAACGATAAGGAAGACCCCAGTGTTGAACAGCAACGGCCTGAGGCAATAAAGTCAAAGCAACATGAGACTCTCGAGGGAGTCTGGTTCTGCTTCTCTGGGGACAACGGGCATAAAGTTTTGCAAGGAAGCAAAAAATACTTGGACTCCTCTGTTTTTTGTAAAAGACGAGGCTGTGTTCTTGTCAGATTTTTGACAATGGAATGGTGCAATTAGATACTTAAAATAGACTCTGACTTCTAAAACTGTCCAAGTCAAATGGTTTGGACTTTTAGTTTCAGTTTGTCTCTTAAAAGTAATAATCATTGTGATGGCATGAGCTAAAAGATAAACCGAGTGACCACATAGTTTGATTGTGTTGTACAGGAAACTACTGTGGTGTTGCAGATGGACATACGTGATCTCTCATAATACAAAAATTCTCTTTGTGCCTATTCAGAAGGAAAATTGCACAGTTCAACAAGCCAACAAAATGAAACACAGTAACTTTCTTTTCCCTCCCTTCTCCCAGATTCTTGCAAATAATTTATTCTAGAGGAAGTTTTTTGCAGATTTCCTTATTGTGAATTGTTCTCAGAGCTTGAACTTAAGGACTTCACTGTCCATTGGTACTATAATCTTTTAGCTCTGAGCCTCTTGTAGTGGTCCTTGTTACTTTTGAGAAAATCGTTTGATCTGATGGCTACAATTCACAGTGGTCTAAATCAAAAGCCGTTCAGCCTAGCTCTAGGTTGATGTGTTTTTCTGATTTACCCAAATGTGCTTCTACCGAAAGATGGTAGAGGTATACCACGAGTCCTGTCCGTGTGGGAGATGGATGTTCTTGAATGGCATTGCAAGAGAATGAATTGTGACAGAAAGAGTTCAAACTCTGATAGTTGTCAGAGAAATCATTTGGAAAATTAATGATATGTGCTACCAATTGACACATAATAGCCTTATATAAAAAACTAAGTTAAAATTGGCACTTTTTTAATCTTAAGTTACTATCGGCCATACTAAACTAGCTCAGTACCTAAGATTTTACCTTTCATTCAGTTTCCTCTGTTTTTCCTCTTGTGATATGACTACAGAAATAGTTTTAACAGTTTTTAATACTATTTAAAGTTACACATATTGTGTGTTAACTCTTAAATTTTTTTTTTCCTACAAGGTTTTAATATTAGAACCAACAAAAATCTATCAGCCCTCATATCTCTCCATCAACAGTGAAGCCGAGGAGAAGACTGTCTCTATCTGGCATGTGCTGCCCGATGACAAGGTATACCATGATCTTTTCTGTAGTTGTACCTATTTTTGCAATTTAAAAGTATGCATGGTACATAAGGCATATAACATGTAAACAGTTGCATCTGATTATGGATTCTGCAAAGGAGAAAACTGTTTTAGTAACGCACAGGAAGATGCTGTAGACATATGTTGCCATGCATTTTTTTATTTTATCTTTTTAATGTGGCATTATTAATTTTTTCTTTAAGTTTGTCTTGATGTTGAGTGGATCTTTTTTCTCCATCTTTTTTTTAAATAACTTACGTCTTCTTTCAGGTTGTTTTAAACCAGTGGATAGTATCCAAGTCTGTTGCTTAAGATTTCATAAGTAATCTACAATATACTGCTATCATACAAATAACATAGCAAAAAATTACTTATACAAACAGAACTGGACAAGGGGATCGAGTGCACCCT